CTTTTCACACCCTCCGAAAGCCCCAATAACAATTGGGGGAACTGGCCGGGGGGTTTGACAGACCCCTCATGCCCTGGGGAAGAAGAGGAGAGGGGCAACCCTCGAGCCCGGAACCCTGGCGAAAGAAAGGAGCGAGAGCCAGTGAGCGCGCGCGCGCACGCGGCGTCAGGACTGCTGGCACCTCATGCGAAGCAAAGCAGAGCGAGGGAGGGAGGGAGTGAGGGAGGCCGAAAAAAGAGTTTCAGTTGCCTTCAATGACTGCAAGGTGTAGGGCTTTGTTCACTCTGCAAGCAGTGCAGCACATGTTTGGGTCTTGGGAGGCTCTAGTAAGACTCTAGTAAGACTTGCAAGAGTCAAATTCTGAAGCACATTGACCAGAAGCCTAGCAAGCACACTACCCGTCACCCACTACCGGCACGTATTGTCGGGTCACCTTGATCGTGAATATGCATTTTTACAGCCTCACCTGCATGGTCCGAGCTTCAAGTTAGTGTTTCACTGGTTCGTATGCAGGATCGACGCATTCTCAATTGTCTGCAATTGGGTAGATGCATTGCATCCCCTTGGCACGTAGACACCTGTTCGCACGCAGGATCGCTGCACCGTCGTCCCCCTGCTTGCAGCTTTACATGATGCCGGCCTCCTTTCCACAGCTCAGCTGTCGAGAGGACAGACTGTTTGAAGCGAAGGGGGAGCCGTCAACCGATGTCTGTGGTAGAAGGTATGACTGAAGTAGGAAGAGGAGGAGGAGGAGGTGCAGGTGTGTGCCGCAGAAATGACCCATGCGGTCGGCATTTATAACAAGAGTCTCCAGCGTGTATGCAACTTGGCCACTACACTGCCTCATTTTCCGATCAAACAGACTCCCGTCCAGTTTGATGTGTTCGTTTCTGTGTGAGGCGGGAGACAGAGGAGTACAGTGCATGTCTTCTGGCAGTCACCAAGCTCCCGTTGCAAAAGCATCAGAAGGATTCGAGAAGTTGGTCCTCGCTTGGGAGGCTGGGCCGCGACAGGGGCAGTTGCCTGGCAATTGAGCTGATCTTCTCGCGTAGCTCCTTCAGTTGCTGTAGGTGTAGATAGTTCAGCTGAAGAGCTCCATGTGCTTGCCTACTCGTAGTATCGAGTGGCAACTCAAGCAGTCGCTTCCTTTTGTTCCAGCTTCACCCAGTCGCCGCCGCCCCGAAAGGACGCAACCTCAATTTGAACAGGATGCATGTGGAAGTTTGTCCATTCCTGTCGAAGCATGCCAGGACCTGCAACTGGATGTCCCCGGAGCACCCGGGCTGCTGCCTGTTTGTTGATTACAGAGTCACGATGCTGTCAGCGATGGAGGTATGTGGGAAAGCACCGCTCCCGAAGCCTGCACCCGTGTGAGAACCATTACAGCGGCGAAGCCGTGTAGTGCAAACAGGCATGCACAGCTAAGTGCCCAGCTGCGGATCGCTAGGTCATTGCAGTTCACTTACCTGGCACGGGCACCCCATTGGCCCATCCCCCTCAAAGAAGCAAGGCTCGTGTCGCTGCTCTCCTCGCGTGTCGGCCTGTTCGACCGGAGCTTGCTACTGGGAAAGCAAAAGAGATTAAATCCCAGCCTGACAAACGCAATGGCATCGTCTTCTGCCGTCGGAGTTGGCTCGGCACCAACCACTACTGCCCCGGACATGATGGTCTTTCGAGTGGTAAAAGTCGTAAAACCAAAGCCTGTTACCAACCTTTTCTACAGGTTCGCTCGACTCCCAGAGGAGCCACTGCTGAGCTGCCAAGACATTTCCGGATTCTTCTAGATTCTAAAAGACAACTTCAAGCTCAAATTGCTGCAGGTCTGATTCGAAGGAATGAAAAGGCTTAACAAGGGCTTGCATCGGATCTTTGCTTGCTTTGCTGGCAGGAGCTGCTGGTAAAGGTTTGCGCGGAGCTGCCGGCCAGTGTTGTGCAGCGCACAATCCGCAGCCATCTGGAGGAGCCGAGCTCCACAGAATCGAAGTTTATTTTCAAACTATCAGTCAGTGGAGAATGTGTGGATAGTCTGCGCGTGATGTGAGCCTGAGTTCACTGAGTTCTTGAACGGTCTTGGTTTCTGGAGCCCGCATCTGCTGCACAAGTGGCTGTGTGGTGTTCTTCCCTGCAGATGCATCTAAATGTCTGCCATCAGCACCGCTTTGGAGGAGCTTACTGCCTTCAAGGTGGAGATGACGAGCAAAGCTGCTTTGCTGCACATCTCCATTTGCTTCCAGCCTTAGTTGTTCAATTCTGCATGGTGGCTTTCACTCTAACTCTATTCGTGCCTATTCGTGCCTTCGTGTCCGTCATATTCTGGGGTGAGCAGCCCTGGACGGTGCTATACCATGCGTGCAAAGTAGACGGAACTTAAACAACAACGGAAGAAAGGTTGAGCACGACTTGCTCCGCACGGGCAACCCGGATGGCTTGGCCCACTGGCTTCGGGAAGAGTGCCTCCAAGACAGCAGTTAAAGCCAAAGCCATATGACTGATATGACAATCTGACACTCCACCACCAGAAACACTGATCCCACACCTGCCATCCGAGGCAAGCCCGCTTTCCATCACGAGGTTGTCGTGGCTGCATGCCTCAGTTCCTTCAATGGCCAGCCTATGGCCGACGCGTTCTGGATGTCTTGCTTTGACACCCCAGGCCGGGGGGCAGGGCTCTGCAAACGCTGACTCGTCCTTCCCTGGTGTGGCTGAGGCCTGAGGGCCGAAAAGAGCCGACTCGTGCTGGAGGCCCTGGTGCAGCTGTCGCAGGACCTTTCAAAGCCAGTCTGCACACAGCCGTCATCTGGCAGTTGACATCACAGGCATGTACTGCTCACATTGGTGCTCGTCCATCGCCGCGCCGAGATGAAACTGTGGTCCCACAAAAACAGACGGACAGGAAACTCTGCAGCTAGAAAAACAGGCGAAATCGCACAGGCTCTCGCTGTGAGTACGAACAGACACGACAGCTTGGAAGGACCAGCTTCTGAGCGAAACCGACATCCAAATCGGCTTCTCGCGAGTGCTGGGGATCGTCACCGCTGATCTCGAGCCGATTTGCCCAAGTGGTTGGGTTCAGAGGAAAGCTTGCCGATTTTCTCATCAGGATTGCGCATGGGAGTACAGTACAGGTCGGTTCACGTCAGCACGGCAGCTTGAACCTGTAACGCAGCTGCTACCTTCGACGGTGCCCCTTGCTGAATCCTGGCGCCAATGCCCAAAATTGTATCACAGCTGAAAAACCTGTGGCCGTTTTGGAGTTGCCACGCATGCGTCTGCATCAGGTCAAACTTCAAGGGTGAGGATCTGACGCATTTGGTGGCACTTTTGCGTGCGGCTGTCGAGATCCTTGGCTTCAATCACCGGGAGGTTTGAGCCACCAGCACGGACATGCGTAAAATTTCAGAATGTTTTCTCCCTCGTGCATGCATGAACAGCAGCTCAGTCGGACGTCGTGGTCCAACTCCACCTAGGAGCCAAGCCTAGCCTGCCTCGCAGAGCTCTCTCTGCTGTTAGGAAAGAGTTGCTCGCCGCACAGTTCCTCAAGATCGCGCGCCGCTTGCGCTTTGGAGGATCTATGGGCGTTGAGGCCTTGGCTTCACAGTTCCGTCGGTGTCGCTGTGCTGCCCTGTGGTGCGCATGGATTTGGGTTAGTGAGTTATTTGCCCGACACAGACGCTCCAATCCAAACACTGGTGCCTTTCCCCCCCCCAAAAAACAAAAGTAAAAGGATGATTGTAAGGTTTGGCAGGGCTGGGGCTGGGGCGTGTATCAGTGTAGGTTCTGGGTCGTGTATAATACCATTTGTCGCCCCGTATCCGTTTCATATCATAGCCACCTATTCCGTTTTTCATTATCTAAACCTCTTTCATGATATCATTTCTTGCCCTCTCTTTCGTTCCATCCTTTTCCTCATCATCAACATCGTCCCCGGCTGCGTTTCTCATCCTCATTTTTCTTCAAGTATCTTTCATTCTCTTTTTATCATTATCATAATTGAATCTCCCCCTCGATCGTTTTTCTCTAATTCAGCATATCAACCCACCTGTTTTCTGGGACATTCCCACCTCACACGCTCGACCAAAGATTTAAAATGCATTAACATTGTAAATATGTGTTTAGACTTGCTTTTTGCCGTCATACTGTTCATATAGTATGATAGTTGGTGCGCTCTCGGGCTTTCAATGGCTTCCCCACAGTTTTGAAGACATTTTGGTTTTATACGTTTATCTGTTCATCTTCTTGCCTTATCACAATGAACCATTGATAGTATTTCTACTTTACTGATTACATCTAAAAAGTTTCCTTCTTCTTCTTCTTCTAACTGAAGCAACTGTTTGTGATGCCAAATAAATGTCTTTATTCAGTTCTTGCAGTTCTTTGTCATAGCGCTTAATCTCATCTTCCTGCTCCTTAGTCCTGTCACTCATTCTTTACTATTCTAAGGCTTTTTGTCTTTAAAGAGTTTTATGCTCAAATCGTATAATCATAAAGTTAATGGCTTGACAAAGCACATTTATCGGTTTTCTTATGTCTAGCCATACCACTTCTTGAGACAGTTAAATTTCAATCAGGGCATTGTATTTTTCTGTTGCTTGTTGCTGTGTTTCTTCTTTATTTGCTTCTCTGTATTCCTTCTTACGATTCTCTGTATATTCTACGTTGTTAATTTAGCTTTTCTTTGTTAGTACTGTAGTAATGTTGACATCGTTGCTTTAGTAGTTCTTGGTTGTTTTCTCTGTAGGTTAATTATTCATCAACTGTCTCCCAGCAATATAATGATTGACTGTTCTCATTTCTCTTATAAAATGTCCTTCTGATTTCAATAGTTCTTCTTTGCATTCACAAGGGCAGTGTTCAACAAGTTCAACGTAAAAGTGTTCCTTACCTAATTCAACAATCCTTTTGTAAATGCGGCAACCGTGTTGTTTATTATCACGTTTCTTCTTATGGTCGTTAAACCGTTTATGTACACAGTAGTTGAATGGTGCTTCCTTTATAAACATCATCATCAACATAATTTCTTTCAGCACATACTGTACCATTATTGCATTTTTTGGTTTCTTATGGTTTTTCTTCGGTCACCATATTATTATAGCTTCTTGTTTTTAAGTCATTTATTAACTAGTAATAAGTCATGGCTCGTGTATTTCTTTGCCAATCCTATTCACTAGCATAATATTTATTCATTTGTAAGTCTCTATTAACTTCTCACTTTATGTGTGTTTGTGCTCCACTGGGTTGAACTTTCTTTCCGGCTTGTATAATTACCCTTACCTTTAACAAGTACTCTAACATCATCACCCTCTTTGATGTTAGGATATTTTCTTCAATACTTTTCTTTCATTACAGAATTCACCTTTACTTCTATTGCGTTTTCATCACCGTGTGCTTCATTACAGGTGGGACCAGTGGTGCCATGTATTATCTTGCTTTTTTTAATACTTATCTAAAACTGGCTTTAGCGTATCAGTCCATGCTCCTTTATGAACTTGTAATCTATCACTAAGCATTTTCCATAATTGCTACATTCGCATGTGTTAGTGTGGTGCGGTGGATTACTCCCTCATCTTACAAATATTTTCGTCACTCGTTTGAACTAAAACTACCTTGATCGTGAAAAAAATTGATTTAGGATGTCCCAGTATTTTACCACATTCCATAAACGCATCATATACGGGGTCTGTAAAGTTATTCTCCAAAACGACTACGTGACATTTCTTACTACAATTACTGTATCAATACAAACAAAACGATATAGTGGATATTCCTTCTTATATGCTCTTGTATCTTTCATTAAACTAATCATGTTCTTAAAAATCTACGCTGCATACTGACCTTGCGAATGGTGGTGAATAACTGTTGGAGTTTTTGTAATTCTTACGCTGGTTCAATGTCTGACTTCTTCTTAGAAATTCCTGAACTTCATTTAATGCTATTACTAATCCTGCCTTTCTGGCATCGGTAAATAACTGCTTAGCGCTACCAAAACCTTGCTCGACATCATAATGTAAATCGCTTACAACTTGGTCTTTGCTCATATACTATATTCCATAAAAAAGCCTTTGAAGATATGGGATTATAGCTAAATGGGTACACATGGACGAGAATAGATATGGAAATGGTGCTATTTATAAGGTCGTTGATGTTGGGTGTAATCATTTCTTCTAGTGTTTAGGGTTTTAGGGTTTAGGGTCATGCGAGAGTCCTGGATGAAAAAAAAGGGTCATGAGTACTGTCTTGTGGGTCAAGCTGGGCAGTAAGGGCAGCAGTCGAGCCCCTTGTGAAAAAAGGGTTTAGGGTTTTGCGGGAAAAGAGGACAACACCAGAAGCAGTTAAGAAGTTTTAATATAGTTATGAAAATGAGGAAATGAGTTAGACTAAACAAAGTTTGATACTTTTATGTTATTACAAACCTCTGGTAAAGCCTGTAAGGGGGGCATGTCCCAGAAAACGGGCGAGGTGCTATGATGAATTTAACAAACGATCGAGGGAAAGATTTATGATAATGATAAAAAGAGAATGAAAGATGCTTCAAGAATGAGGATGAGACACGAAGCCGTGAACGATGTTGATGATGAGGTAAAGGATGGAACGAATGAGGGGGCAAGACATGATGTAATGAAGCAGGTTCAGATGCCGACAAAAAACGGAATAGGTGGCTATGATATGAAACGGATAAGGGGCAGCAAATGGTATGATACACGACCCAGAATCATACGCTGATACACGCCCCAGCCCCAGCCCCGCCACATCTTACAATCATCCTTTGACCAAATGTCCCCCCCCCCCCCCGGCGGTGTACTCGCTCCCGCGAAGTGGTGAAGTTGCAGGCGCTGCGCACTGCCCAGCGGCAGACGCCGCTTCACTCCCGCCGCGTGTGCCTGGCTCAGCTCGGGACAACCCTTGCAGCAGACCCCTTTCTTGACAGATTTGTCGAATGTGCACCTGATGATCTCCACCAGAGTAACATTGTCTCTACTCCAAGCCATCAGACTTGCCAAGCATCTTTGCATGCAGTGGCCTGATGCAATTCTGTCCTGCATATAGGGAAGACAGATTTTTTGGGCTGACGGCCCAAGACAACTAGCCGTCCGATTCGGTGCAAGGTGGGGCACAGGAGACTTGCGCCAGATGCGGACCGAAATGCACGACACGATCGAGGAGTTGCTCAGCAGCACTGCCAGCCTCGAGAATCTGCAGGCTCACCGTGCATGTCTGCCTGCAGGTACTTCGACTCACGCAGCACGGAGGAGCTTGCGCAAGTCCTGGAAGAGTTGCACCTGTCGGCGAAAGAGCAGGCAGGATCGTCAAAGTGTGGCTCGGGTGACGCCTATACTAGACAGAGAATCAGTATCAAAATGTTCGGGGCAGGCTTGCGGTCTGCAGAAACGAGAAGATGGTGTTAGAAAGTTTCATCATGTTTCACCAACTTGGCTGTACTCGTAAGCTGGTTCACATACATGGTTGGCCCCTGCAGCATGACCCAGAGGAGTGTGAGTACTTACTGCCATACCATTTGTGGAGTGGACCATTCCGCCCCGACAACACACCCCACCCGATAGGAGCCAGTTGCTGGCCACATGCAGACTTCGAGTGCGCAGTTTTTCGAGTGGCTAGCATATTTAAGAGCAGGTGGCAGCGGAGTTGCATCACTCAAGCGTACAAGCGCGTGAGGTGACATTCCTTCGCAAACTCTTGGTGGCAGGCTGGGGCATGTCAAGAATGAGTGGCAAAGTAGTCAGCCGGGCTAGTTTTATCCAGGAAGCACAAGGATGCAAGGATCCGCTGTAGTTGATGGCGTGGTTCCACCACCTCAACCTTCGAACCGCAACGCATGCATGATTCAACGAATTTGGCACATGGACAGAACTGTCGTGTCCCGCAACTGGTGCTGTCTCACCACTCATGCCGTTCGCAGGAATGGAGCGAAAGGAAACTGAAGCAGTGCTCTTTGCCGTTCAGGAGCCAGTTTTAGTTGTGACGTGCCGTGCCGTGCAGAAGTGGCACTGTATCGATGCAGTACTTGCGACCTCTGGTTCGTGCAAAGGAGCTGCTTGGCTTCTGCTGGTCAGAACAGGACGGAGAGCCCACATGCCCAGTTTTGGGCCAAAGGAACTGCTGTCCTGCGACGTGGGGCGAGCATGCGTTTGCCAGGGGCTGTGACGATGTAGGCTAGGAGCCTGCCCGCAGCAAGGGTTCAGCACTTTTCCAGAGCGAGCTTCCTTGCACGTGCTGCGGTTCAAGCCATCGCAGGAAGTCGAGGGGGCCTTCCACGAGCTTCGCGACATTGAAGGGGATCTGGTCCTAGACTTCCCGGACTGCGATTCGGCTGACTTTGGCAGCAGTTGGGCATTTGCAGGAAGGAATGCATGAGCCGGGCGTTGGTTTGCAATGTCAGGGGTCGCCAGAGCGTTGACAGCATTGCTTTTCGATGCAAGTCCTACAAAACCACATTTGTTATCTAGAAACATTAGAAGCTTGAGATACAGTGGTGGCATCCAGTCAGAAGAAGTCTCAAGTTTAAGTCTATATATTTCTTTCCCAAAATGCCAGCGTCTGCTCGTGGTTCGCTTGCTTCGCCGCGAGGTCGCGAGTGCACAGGGAGGTTGGTGAGGGCTGCCGTGGACCAGGGGCTGCTGAAGGCTGCCGCTTTTGTCTCAGCCACTCAAGGGCGTGCCAGGAACGTGTGCGACCGCCTCAATTCCACTATGTTCCCAGTAGCCCTGGGCGTCTCAAGCTTCTGAGGTCCCTTCCGATGCAAAATAGGCAACGTACGTGTTTGGTGAAGGCATCCTACTTGGCGGTGGATGCGACGACCCACGTCTGAGATTACTCCAAATTCGACGAGCGTTCTTTGGGGTGTCTGAGATGTTCAGGGTGGGGGCAGAGCTTCATCTTTTGCTGAGGAATGATTGTTTGGTCTAAGGGTCCAGCACGAGCCGTTGAAGGGAATTCGTTGGCATTGTCTGACCTTCAGGCAAGGCTTGTCATCACATCATCGCTGCAGACTGCCGGCTGAACACAATGCGCATGCCTTCACTCACATCAATCGCAACAGAGCCGGGGCCGCAAGAGTTCAACTGCACACAGCAGCATTGCATGTACAGGTCCTTGTCCGGATTTAAAGATGCACCGCAAGCACTCTTTGCCACGTCCTTCGGCACTGGCGCTGCGTGCCTTCGGGAAGGACTGTACGAAGAGCGCGCAAAAGCCAGTGGCTACGATGGATTACTGCACAGTCCAACAGTGACTGTCAGACCGGCTTGGACATGCATCATTGTTTCAACCCGAGTTTCGGGCTGTTTTACCAAACTCCTCGGCCGTTCTACTTTAAGTTGCGATCCTGGTAGTACAGCTTTCAATACGCCGGATCGCTGTGAACGCACAGTGCTGAGTGAATAGATGTCATTCGCTTCTCCACAGGCTGCCCCTAAGAGCAGGGGACATTCCTAAACGTGCATCCAGATGACCGGAAAACAGGTTCGTGTCTCGAGCCTCCAGGTAGTGTACCATGACCCGTGGAAAACCCAGTTCTCAGATTTGCCTTTCCGGTCGTTCGTCTGCAGTTCAGGAGGTCCTTGGGCAGAATTGCCAGAATCTGCTGCAAAGGCAACATGAGGCTGCGGCTGTCGCCACTTGCACTATGACCTTCTCGACAAAAAGCTGTGAATTTGCACAGGTATACATTATAAAATAATATATGTGAAATCCAGTTCTCAAGTCTGAAGAATTCGCATATTCAGAATAAATTAATAACGTGCGCGCGCGGCGTGGCGCATGCTGAAGGATGCCGGTGGCGTCATCTCCACGAGTAGGTCTATGTTGGCCAGACGGAACGCTGGCGCCGAGCGCTGGCCGCGGACAGAATCCGGAGGGTTCAGGTAGAGAGCAACACACATGATAACATTACAGCTGAAGCTTTTGGCACGTGCAGACCACGAACTTGCATGTGGCTCCGCCAAACCCAATGGATCAAGTCCAAGACTTCTCATACAATGTGGGATGGCAGTGGCCCGGAGAAAAAAGTGGAGCGCAGTGAATTGAAAGGGTTCGTTCATTGGAGTAGTATCATCTCTGACTCACACACATCCTCATACTTTCTCGCAGAAGAGCGGCGGCTTCATTCAGCCATCAGGGGATGGACCGGGATCCGGTAGACGGTCCAACAAAACTGACAACTTGGCATTGCATTCTTGGGCCTCAGCTTCTTGGTTTGGCTTTTGGGCTCTGTCTTGGGTCCGGCGGAGCTGATGTCGTAGGAATGCAGAGGCAAGCGTCACAGACCGTCAGCATCATGGATTCATATCTGTCTGCCTTTGTAGATCAAGGCTGGCCAACCTGGTCCGGGCACTCACAAAGCTGGAGCTGGAGAGTGTCCGCCCGAGAGCCCTGGGATAAGAACTCCCGTAGGATCAGAGAGTCTTCGCAGCGCTACTAGAAGATTGCAGCAGGGAATCGTGCGCATGGACTCTACAGTGTGGATCCAACGTTGATCTTCGGGCTGCAGAAAAATCAACCTCCGCGAATAACCCACGAGAACATCGGGAGTCGTGTCTGCAACCATGCCCGGAAGTTACCACCTAGATGAAAATGCGAGCAAGAAACGCTGCACTGGTGTTACAAGTGTACACGCTCAGCTGCAGTTCCCTTGAGTCGCGAGGCCTGCCACTGATGGGCGCCACCAGAGCCGCTGCGTTGACCAAGATCCGCAGTCCCACTGCACAGAACCTTGCGCGGAGCCAGCAAGGATTGCGAGAGTCCCTATTGAGCGCATTTGATCGGCCCCAAGCCTTAAGCCTTTGACGCTGTCTTACACTTCCACGATTCTACCAGGCAGGTGGCAGTCGGACCATGTTTATGAGAATCCGACAGCCGGCATCGAATAATCGTCGTCACTTTTGGTCGGTGAGCATCCATGCTCGCAGAACTTGAGGGCCTGTTTCAGAAACTTTTGGGGGCGGCAATGCAGCAAAACATCCCGATCACCTTATACATAGTAGACCGCGCTCGGATGAAAGTCACATGTATTTCTTTGCAACTGCACTGAGAAACGACAATTCTGTCAGAAGCATCCCGGCAGCTTTACATTTGCAGGAATGAGTGTTTGCTGCCCTGGCCGCACCTTGTGCAAGTATGATTCTGCCCATCAGCCCTTCTCTTCCTCTCTCTCTCTGTCTCTCTTCTCTTTGATTGAAAACCGACCAGCCGTGCCAGGAACACCGCATGGTGGCCGACGCGCCCCGGCTACATCGACGCGTCGCTGCTGTCTGCGACTACGGAGCGTGTTTCACATGGCCAAAGCCTTCCTCTTCAATCGAAGCAACGATCCCTCTCACGACACATGTGCAGAAGACTGAAAAGCCCCGTTGCCCCCTTATGTTGCAGCACCACAGAACTAGCCTCAATTCTATGTTTTACTTACTTTGTATGTCGCAAGTTGTTGCCGGACATCGCCCCAAAGCTCGTGTCTCCAGCGTCCGCGTGCTGCAGCACGTGCATGAAAGGCCTGCGCGGCGGTCCTTAGTTCTGGGCTGGGATGTTGCGCAGTAATCTCGCGAAGCTTCTGCTGCGGCGCACACTGCCATGGACAATCCTGCCGCCAACGACAAATTTACTTGGGTGCATCGTCAGAAGATGATAGACGGTAAACTGTACTTGTTGCACGTTTGGCTTGCTCGGCTACATGCTCGTTTGGTGGCTCGTTTTCCGAAACGTACATTGCTTGTACAGAAGAAGTTAACTCAGTTTTTGACATGCCAGGCCAACTAGTTTTTCGAACGAAGCAGGCTTACGGCCACTAGCTGGTGGGCAGCCTGGCACTTCCTTCCTCTATCACTCTCCGGGCTGCATATCTTCAGCCTTGCTGCATGTGCAACATGCCCATTACGACCCAGGGACTGGTGCAGGTCCGCTGTCATTCTGCCTGGCCCCCCATCCTTTTATGCTCCCGTCCTATGCAGATGATACCGTTGTATTGCCTCCCTCGCACAGGACACCTGCCACAGCCGCTACGATCACCTCTGTGTCCCTTGTACTTTGTTCTGCTTGTGCTACCAATGCCGCCGCTCTCTCGGACTGGTTTTCATCGTGACCAGCACGGTGCTTCATTTGCGCCTTTTGCTGACGCTTCTGCTGTTGAGGATGAATCGCACCGGAAGCTACATCTCGAAGTTCCCGAAGTCAATACTAAAGCATGTCTTGCTAATGAGGGCTGCTGCCTGTCGGGCAATTTGCAGGAGCAAGCCGGCGAAAAGATTCGTGAATGCACTGCGTTCGACCTGTCCATCCTGGTTTGGGCTTTTGATGTGGCCTGGCCGCAACAATTAATGATTAATGTTTCATCGACAAGCAGGCTTTGCTGCTCCCAGGCCTGCAGCTGCTTGCCATGCACTGCCGATGCACGGCCTGGATGAGATCAGCTGCGATCACCACAAAAAATATAACCCGATTTATGCAGACGCACCTGCATTTGTAGGAGCCTTGCTGATATGCAAAGTCACCAGTCGCAATACCTTTCTCAGAGGTGTGACATTACGAAGCAACAGAAATCACTACGAAAATTAACGAAGATGTACTCTTACCGCTTTCCAATGCCAAAGCACCTTGAAACACAACACGGGGAATGCATGCCGTTTGCGTTCAACAATAGCTCAGAAGAAGATCACCTAGCATAGGTACACTAGCATTCTCGGGCATCGAGTTTCCCGCTGCAGGCCCTCGGCCGGAAGATGCCACGAGCTTGGCGCTCTCATGTTATATCCACAGAGCTGTTGGAGGTGCAACTTCCTGCACCGAAGCTCGATTTCCAATTACGGAGTTTCAACTTTGCAGCGGGACTTGTAACACACATGTTTGGTGAGCATGCCCACTGCGTAAGCATCGTTAGCAAGGCATGTGCTCCAAAGACATGTGCTGCTGTAGCGTCTGCGGGCTTGGGTCTTGCAGCCTAAAGTTAACTGGTGGGGACGGACATGTTGCGTTAGCCGATATGCCAGCATGACTTGGTTCTAGATACGTCTAGAATGGAAAGTGTCTTACTTATGTGTTGCCTTCATGCACGGAACCGTTTGTGGAAGGGCATCTGAGAAGGCAGTATTCACAGTGACCACCGGCTCGATGATTTGCACACGGCTTAGGCCTAGTGGTTTTCTACCAAAGGCCATGCAGCACTTTGCGCAGGAGTGCATTGGTGCTCTTGCAGTTGTTTCTTGTTTCTTTTGCCGTCTTGGATTTCTCAAACAGATAATCATAAAGCTGCTCATCACAACACAAGAGAACATGCCCTGCTCCGCAGGAGCTGAGCCTGGAGGGAGATGTGACGACCTCAGAGAAGGCTTCTGTCAGTTGGCCTGTTTTGACATGTGAAGCCGCCGGTGTCCAAGGTTGGAATGTTTTGGTTCGACATGGCAAATGTTGCATCAAGTCTTGGATCTGCAGAGCGTGCAGCCTTCGTCGTGGGCTTGGACTTGTGCTGGCATGATCATATGTCGTGTCCGTGCGCTTCCAGCTCAAGGACACACGGTTCAAGCAGCAGCTACTGAAGCCTGTTCAAGACAGCTCGGGCCTTGACTTGTGTCATATCTAGGTGCCAGGCCGAATCTTCAACCTGTTTGGCTGAGGCCTTCGTAGACTCTGCTCTGCCCAGATGCCTCACCAATCTTCGTTCGACATGCCGTTCACCCAGCCTTCCAAAGCGTGGCAGCATATGAAAAGCATGTGACCAGTTGCTTGCCCCAAGTTGTTCGGATGCGTCGCCCTTGCAACAGCACATGGCACGGATCCGCAAACTGCTGTGGTAACATTTGCCGGGTGCAGGTCAGCCGGAAACATGTCAATGTGCCAATGTGCTATAACAGCGCGAGCTGCTCGAACGGCACTGCCCGATTCTACCTTGCGGAAAGCGGGGGTAAGCGGCTCTTCAATTCATGCTACAGCGGTGCTCCGCATGTACTTACTTGCAAAGGTGGCAGATGCTCGTGGACAAGTGGAATATCCCCTATCTTGGTGCAGACCTGAATTGGGCGAACAGCTGCACGACATGTGCGGTCTGTTCAGTGTAGAGAATATGTGGAGAAGAGAGAACTCTTGATCAGGACATCTTGCATAGGCTTTATAGTCAAGGTCGGAATCGCCCCGAATTGCAGGTCTTGAAGAGGAACTGGTTCAGACGGTTTGTTTGGCTCGTCGGGGCCCAATTGAATGTCAGGTGCCCACTATACAGCGGAGGTCTTCCGGGTCCTGGGCGTGCCCCAGAGTGCCCCTGCCGCGCTCTCTGCTATCTCTCAAAAGCTATTGGGTCGTTGCACAAATAAGGCTAAGCAAGGCGGCAGGGCGGTGATGTGGCTTGGTCCGTTGCAGAAATGCATCATTGTGCTTGGTGCAATCGAGGACTCCAGCAACGACACCACACCGGGATCGCAGGACGAAGATAGTGGCAATGACGCAGAGGATCGAAAACAACTTGCAAATTGCACCGGAATGCCTTTTCATGTCGTGTGTTTCCGATTCATTTTGAACTGACTAGTTACTCTCCGTGACATGGCCAAGATAGACTACACCGAAAAGCCAAGAGACAGTCCTTTGTTCTGCAGGCTAGCCCCTCTGGTATGAGACATCTCCGCAACTTCCTGTTTGTGCTCCCCTGGCTCCAGCATGATCAGAGCAGCCGCTGCGGATGCTGATGCAGCTCAAGATTCACCCCCTTCAAAGCCATGACTGCCCGAAATCTTGAGAGTTAGCGCTCGCACATGTAACCGATGGCGTTTGCCGCGATGTGACACGAATGGCATGGCGTCGCAGCTGCCAAGGTACGGGTTTCAGCAAGACATGCCTATAAACCGCATTTCTGCTGCCCTGAGCAGAGCTCCGGTTCCGAATCTGAAGTGCCTTTCAGGCCGTCCGGCGACTTCTCGAGTGCCGTTGCTTGGGCAAGCGCTGCGGGCGGGCTGGGGCCTCGAAGCTCTCACAAAAGAGGTTTGCCCTTACAAGGTGCAGATCAAGACTTCCTAAACTGGAAGCATGCCCCAAGCACAAGGACTGCTGGGGCTGCTTTCAAGAAAGCGGCCGGTGCTGCTCGTGTGCAAGCTGGCCAGGCTGGAATTGCGAGTGGTCCGAAAGAAGTTAGAGCACCGGGGATAAGGGGGTCCCATTGTCCCATACGTTCTTTGGAGTTGCGGCCAGTGTTACTTCGTAAGCTCGGCAACTCACAGGCAAACGTGGTCCCTCTTCAAGTTTTTGATGGACATCCGACTGATGGGTGGCAACTCGGGAACCTTAGGCTGGGGCTCGGTTGTTTCCTGCGATTGCTTCGCAGGTAAAGGCAGCTGTGGACAGCCAGGCGCAGCGCTGAAAGCACACCGGGAGACTGTGGCACGCATGGTACACTGCTAACTTTTGGCCCAGCTAGGAAAAGAGAACAAATCTAATCTCCTCCGTTTCGAAGACGTCGCTTACTCAGGTGTGGCCGCCCTTCGGTGCGACTGGAGGTACTGGGGTGAAGTGCGGCGAGGGTCATAAGGAAGTTCGTTCTACACCAGTTCTAGAACCAAGAATTTCAAGATGGCGATCGCCGTGAACTGTGAGCTTTCGAGATCTTACAACGAGTGTTCTAATTGCAATGCTCGTTATTTAGTTGTGTTTTCTCACTGCATTCTGCTGCATTCTGGACTGCTTTGTCCAGATGGGAAGTTCAGACTGGTCTTACAGTCGCAAGAGCATGCTTTTCTTGGGAAGCTGACGCATACGACAAGGTTCTGACTGCACAGCTGAAATGCGCCGAGTGGCTCAAGACGCTGTTCTTATCCATGAGTTCATCGAAGGACCGCGACATGTAGTTGCACGTGCGTGCGTCTACCGTGCCTAATCAACGCCACACCGATCCTGGCTAGACACCATCGCTTATTCCGTGTGGTGTAGAGCCCTTCCCGCCGTCCTATCTGGCCTGCTGGAATAACCAGCAACGCCCAGTCGCAACAAGAAAATGGGCCAAGGCTGGCAAGTTGACAAGTCTAAGTGGATGCTGAGTGCTGCTGCCTTCCCCACACACCTCACAAGCTTGACTTGAATTGTATGCTGACGCAGTCTGATAGGCGCCTCAAATCCGCCGCTTCAGTCCTGCGGCAGTCATTTGGGAATCTGCCTGCCATCATGGGACACTGTGAAGGCGGGGACACGCCGATGAACTTGACGGATTGTCTCGCAGTGCTAGGTGCTGGCCAGAACCGAGAGACAGTACTTCGGACATACCAAGGTGGACTTGACTCGCGTGGACAGCGAGGCTGTACCAGGAGTCCGAGTGGCTGGGCACAAATTCACTCGTAACACGGCCCTCGATGGCAGACCAATCCATGGAGCCCAAGAGTTTTGGAGGCGACTGGAGTGATGTCACTAAGGATGCCAAGCTGCTGCCCTCCTCACGTGCCATCCGTGCTGCCTTGGTCAAAACGGGTGAGACGAAGTGCTTGGGCAGAACGCAGTAGTGTGCAGGGGAGTTTGCGTTTCGTAGACCCCAAATCATGCATGCACTTGCCAGCGTTGTAGACGCCGTCATGAACCAAGTCCATCAGTGCTTCTCTGTCGTACAGTCGTACAGGCGGTCATGCCCGCGACCAGGAATGCTGTGCTTAGAGTTCAGGGTTGAAGGCCAAACCAGCTGTCCTTGCCTGACGTTGCAAGCCAGTTGCAGAAGGGTTTGACCTTTGAGTCCAGGGTCGCGGTGGGTGACCTTCGACACCCACACTAAATTAGGATCCAAAACACGAGAAATCGGCGAGGAGATAGCGCAGTCTCGAGCGCCGTTGCCACCACAAAGCTTGACAATCCATCAACAAGAGCTCTTGGGGGTTTGCTCGAGGATGGATCGAGGAATGTTGGCCAAGGCCGAGTGGGAAAGGCACGCTTTTTCGAATTTGTTTATGTAGAACCATGCCAATTTTCCACAAAGCAAATTCTTTCGGGATGTCAACCACTTGAGTTGCTGAAAAAGGGATTTAAGTTGAAAGCTCACGAGCACAACAAGCGCAGCCTTCGAGGTTGACTTAGTCAAGTTTAAAGCTATAGACCTATAGGTTGTTGGATGCAGGAGCCAGTGCTTATCGGTACTCAGAGGTTGTGACAAGCAATGCAGCTCCACTGTTCACCATCTGTGGGATGTGTTCGCACACCTTCAGCTTTCGACGTTTGGCGCATTGAAAGGACAGCGGAGTTGTTTTGTGTGTGAGTGTTGTGAATGGCTGTGCCTGGCCAAAGATGCCTGCATGTTGTGGTAGAGCAATTATCCAATTCCAGACGGAGAGACTGGTCTCTCTGTCGTACATGTGCGGAAATTCGTTCTGCCAGCTTGTGTGCAGGCAGCTTCGAGCAAAGATCCAAGAGCGCGAGCGCCAGCAACTAGAGTACGAGCAGGCCATTTTGCGGTATTCCCCCTACCTTCCACCGACCTTTTCTGAACGAACAGCACGGGCAGCAGAAGCCAAATCGTGCGACTGACTGTTGATGCTCCGAACGAGTCCCTGGCCCGGGCCCGGGCTGCGCAGGCCATCCCCGCAGCAGAGACGCCAGTAGAGCTCGGTGTCAGGCCTCGGAGATATCGGCGACACGAGTTTAGTATGGATTGGAAACTTACGGGTCGAGTGGCAGCCATGCTGTACTTACAGTCCTGACGTGAGCATTCCTTTTTCGGTTTTGTACTTTTCCGTCCAATTGGCGAGGCCTTTTGTCTAGAGCAGTCGTTGCGCATAAATCTTGGCATCACTGGGGAGAGCAGCCTGATTTCAGAATGGCCCTCGGTAGTACTGCGTACAGCCGGAGCACATACATGCCCACACCCGCCTTGTCCCCAGAGCCGTAAACACAAGACCTGGCCGTCTGCAAGCCCATAAGACTTGCAAGACGAGCCAGCCAAAGAGGCAAGATGAGCGTCTCCTTGCTTTGGAGTTGATCAAGCAGGTGGGCCGTACGGTCCTGGAGGGAAACAAGAAGCAGAATCACCGCAGAAGCTTCAAGAAGCTTCGAAGCTATGTTTGCCAAGGTGTTTCGACAGTTGCTTCTCCGAGAAGTGGTATCTTGTCCGCTTGGCTGGTCAGCCATGGCACAGTTTTTTGCCAGGACATGGAGGGCGGCCGCTTGTGCGACAGGCTGCGATTGGGTGAGCATTGCCCTGACCCCTGGATGTTCGTGTCATTTTAGTTGGAGATGCTTGCTCGAAGCATTTCAATCTTCAACCCGAAGATGCAGTTCTCTAGCCGGATTTCAGAGTCACGCCGGCTTTGCAGGTCTCATGCTCCGGCACTTCCAGAGGAGGAGGAGATAGAATTGGACGAGAGTATCGACAAGCAGGAGCAGCTTCAGGATGGCCTTCGGCAGATTTTGAACTCCCACAGCAGCCAGGACGACAGCACAGGGCTGCCCACTTCAAGTTCCAAGGGCAGCTCCCCAGAGGACAGCCGCGGCCACTGCTAAGACATCCCTTCGACAATAGGCCAACCTTCAGCACTCAATACGTTTCTGATATCTTCGTGTTTCAAATACTAGTAGATGGAGAAACAGCCGAGTAGGCGCTTGGGTGCCCGAGGTGTCCTTCAATCCGGATTGTGCAGGTTGACACCACGGCCTGACATTGTGATGGAATGTGGTTTCCATGTGCTCGTGCGAATGTGTTCGTTGATTCTTTGTGCAGTCGGTAGGGTTTCCATTGATCATCCATTTCTAGGTCTGGATCTGGCATGCGACAAAATAGAACTACATGATGCAGCTCACTGCTGCACGGCAGCACGGACAAACACGGGGCAAGCATGCGGTGACGTGCACACGCACACACACACACAGTTTCATTCACTCGCCCACACCTGCATGCATACGTCCATGAGCACATTTACAGACACATATGCAGACAATTATGTATGTCTGTCCGTGTTAATTGTTGTGCGTGTGGGTTGCGGTCCCTCCCCCATCACCACTGTTCTCTTTTTCCCGATGTTGCGTTTGTTGTGTTGGTGGGTGGGTGGGAGGATATAGGGGTGGGGAGCAGGGCAGGGGGTCAAGCATAAGTCAGAAGGCTCGAAGGAGATAACGAAGTAGCGCAATACTTATAATCATCACCTGCAATTTCCAACCTTTCTGTCCACTGTGTTAGGACCAGTTGGATGAAGATGGCAAACTGCTCAACAAATTCCTGGCTGACAACGGGTTTGACGATCCGCACCAAGGCCAGGCTGTCGTTTGCTACTTGTGTTCCTGTTTCGCAGGCTCGGCCAAGGCAAACGGGCGCTTAAAGCAAACAGAAACCAGTTTTGGCTCCTAGCTGCTTGATTAGAACCTCACCGCGACAGATTTCCGTAGCAAAAAGCCCGTCGCCAGTCAACCGCCTTTCAGCTACAGCTGCCTTCATTGCTGGGGCATCCTTATACCACCCTACACGGACTGTGACGAAACATGGTAGCACAAAAGTCTGTGCCCCTGTAAGGCAGACGGAGGTTTTGGCGAACGACCTATCCTCTGCATGTGGCAGCAGAGAAAGGAAACACAAAGGCCGGAGCCGTAGCAGTCTTGCAAATGCAGGTCAAATGCACAGAGACGCATCGCAGCACGACTAGCAACTGAGGTGGTGGCACTGCTGCTTTCAGCAGGCGTTATGGCAGACCAGAAGACGCCTTGTCCTTGCATTATTCAGTTTCTAGGACCTTGTTCAAGCAGAGAAGCCTCCATCAGTCACTTTGGGTTTAAGCCTACTTCATCCCCAGACTGAATCTACCGTTGCACGGAGAACGACACCCCTGATCATGGAGACCGTGGCGGATGGTTGTCCTGCATCCGAAGATCGTTTCACCTGTTTAGAAGTTTAGCTTGTTAGAGCGTACCGCCTCTACGGTTCGGAACCTGCTAAGGAACTCCGCAGGGAGGACAGCGCTAGAAGTGGCAAGGAAGAGATTCCTGGAACGCGATTGAATGTGGCGGTGTTGCGCAGACCGTGGGATTGCACATACACTGAATAAACTTGCCGTCTACGCCGTCCGGGCTTCAGCCTTTGGTCTTCAGACATCATTGACCTCGCCTTCATTTGCTGGCTCCGTTTTGTTGTCGTCTCTCTCTCTCTCTCTCTCTCTCACGGCATAATTATGTGATGTGAGGTGTGAGTTGATGCATCCATGACTTGCAAAGTAAGGAAACCGAAATCAGTCTCACCAAGCTGTATTGCTGGAATTAGGCGCTGGACGTGAATAGATCCGTCCCCGCTTCACTTTTGTGCAAAGTGAGTGTAAGCCGTCAGCAGAAGGAAGTTTCAACTTCTAGGAATTGGGCCTCGGACTCGGACAGACGAGCTCCTGGTCCAAGCCCTGCTAATTCGTTGCTTATGTAGTTTCAGGCTAACTGGACCTGTAGACAAATGGCAAAATCGATGCAGGCACTGCTCAGTCGCGGAGTAGGGTAAACTCACGAGCACGTTCTCTAACGGACCTGCGCAAGCACCGAAATCAAACGGTTGCCGCACACGCACCGTGCTCCTGTAGTAGCAGCGGGTGAGATGTCATGCGACGTCATCCTTCCTTCTTGACGTTTGCCCGCACAGAGCTCACAGCGTAAGCTCGTGAAGTCCGCACTCGGGATTCAAGTATCGTCTTTCCGTTCTGCGGGGTTTGGTCAGGTGCGGCTTCCAGTACAGCACGGTCGCCTTTCCAATCCGATGAGTTTCTGCCCCAGGCAACCCTTTTTTGGGTAGTAAATAGGACATGAAATGAAGAGAACTAGTAACTAGTCTGCTTTCTATTGCACTGAGAGGGCCGCTACCGGCCGCTCGGCTCTCCACTTTACACGTATACTGCATGCCTTTGGTCCTTAGGCCTTAGGCATTCTGTATCGAACTTCTTCAGGGACCCTGGGTGTCACCAGAGTGGTGCTTCTACAGCAGAGAACAGGGGCACAGTAACGTCCAAGAGTGCAAGATTTCAGACAACATAGCTTCGTGCAGTTCCAAAGTGCTGCTGGCATGGAGGTACTTTGAGTTTGCACCGCAAACCCATCCATTACCTCCCCCTCCCGAGGCCCAACTATGGCCCTCTACCTCCTGTTCAGATTCGCGTGTGCGGTGCTTTGCGATGATCCAGTTTTTGCGTGGTCAAGTGGCAAAGTCGCGCATTCCGTGGCATGTTTGCTGACGATTTCTGTCTTGACTTGGCTTAGGGCAACAGTCGGAGACCACATCGACAGTTGGCACCATGTGAGCACACCACACAGTCACACAAACTGGTACTAGCCCGCACGCCTTGAGTCCAACCAGCACCTGCGACGATGCCCACGCACAGAGGGCACGTTCAGTATCCAGAAACGAAGCTTGCGACATTGTGCAACAGCCCCTGTCGCTGCGCTACTGTCATCCTCACTGTGCGGCCGTGGCAATGTCGGGCATACTGAATTGGCTGTATGACCTCTGGGAGGATCCCCCCGAGCCAGACAGCCCTTTCATCAAAGCTTTGAAAGATGACTGGCAACTCGCCCGGCAATGGCTGAGGTGGCTTTTGAACAGCGCTGTTTCAGAGCTTGGCGCTTTGCCTCTCTGTGTGGACGTGTGTACGCGCATGTACGTCCTTATGTCGTCAGGTTGGCGGAGAACTCCGAGTCCCGCGAGGAAGATGTCACCAAACAGTGCCTAGCCATCTTTCTACACTTGATCAACTTAGTCCTATAGTATACTATAGTATGCTATTATAGTATACAATAGTAAATTATAGTATATTATAGTATAGTAGAGGCATTGTCACCTTCTTAGCTCCTTCGCTGAGCTGCCACCGTGTGCCGGCCTCCTCGGCTCCGAGGCAGCTGGAAGCAAGGATCGCGACGGCTGAGAAGGCCCTCTAACATACTATACATACTGCAATAGACTATACTATACTATTACGTACCATAGTATACCATAATATACTATAATATGCTATCATGTCCCCTTTCCTGTAAACTGGATTCCCGCAGAGTTGGCGAACGCACCGGGATTATCTTGGGTGGGAGAAGGGGTTTGCCCAATGTAATCCTTTTGGAACTGACCGTCCCTTGCCCATGTGTCAACTTCGTCTGGGGTAAGTACTCAAGCTTATTCAGCCTAGGTTGGGGTGAGTTTGGAAGTCGAGGAAGCCTGTTGAGAGCCGAGCATTCGGAGCCTGAGTTTGGATTGGATGTGAAGATTGGAAATTCTGAAAAGACAGAACTCTCCAACGGTTCCAGGAGAGAACCGAGGTCCGCCCCCTGAGTGCGTAAGGTCATAGGCCCGAAACACTTCAGAAGGATGTCTACAGAGCGGGCAGTCTGGACCTCCCCCAATTGCTTCAGCACCCATACTCGTTCTGGGAGGCAGCGTCCAAGGTGACCGAGCCCAACAAGCTGCTTGACCTCGCAGAGCCTGGCCTAAAAAGAGCGTCGAGCCTTTTCTTAACCGTCTCATTCATTGACGCTTGGCTCAGGAAGCCTACGGTGTGCTTAACCCCAGAGACAAGCGGTGCCTGGAAACCTGCGAACTCGTCATGAAGTTCTCGCTTCCTTTCCTCAGCAGGAAAGGGCATCATATTTTGAACGCTGAAGTTCTCTGCTTGTGAAGCCCGTCCGCCGTTTGCTGTTTGCTGCCACTGCTAGACTTCAAGCAGCCAGGCAACGACAAGGAGATGCACACCAGCTCCACGCACGATCCCTCTTCCTGCACCAGGATCGGAAAACTCGCCCAGGTTGCACAAGCCTTTGCTCCCAAAAAGGCATTTTCTCTTGAGAGTGTGGCTTCGTGGCTTCTCAGACTCAAGACAGGACTTTGAGGGCAGCCTTCGAGCTCTCCTCCGTGCACAAGAATGCTACAAGGACCAGGGAAATAAGCGACTCCGGAGGTCGCGCCTGGGTCGCACAAGCCACTTGGTGTGTGTTTTTGGGGGTGGCAAGGCTCCCTCGATTGCTGGGCGGATGTGGGGTTGGCCCTGCGTGAATCCTGCTTCGGCTTGCTTTTGGCCTAGGACAGCATCCAGGCAAGTCAAAGTTTCTTCGTGCCACTAAGGAATAATCTCGGCCTACTCCGCGCGCATGCGGCATTGGGTCAGGGCACAGAGGCCTCCGAGCGCTTGAAGGTGGCCTTGACTATGTGTTCGACGAAGGAGCTCGGGGCGTGCTGTTCTCCGCTGTTCTCCGCATCCTTTGCCCTGCAGCAGGAAACAAAGTGAATCACAGTTGCATACACCTCTCGGATCCTGAACGTAGGGCCACTGAGACCATTTCCCATAGCCATAGAAGCCCCATGATGCACATAGCTGTATTCGCACACGCAAGAGCAGACCTGAAGCTTCAGCTGCCGACCAACGGAGGTGCTTCGAGACACGTCTGCACTATGTCCTCGACCTTTGCCCTTTGCCATCTGCGTGTCCATAAACTCCACCCAGCAGCGACTCCGTGCCGTGTGTATCGTATGCGATGGAAGCAAGCGGTTCAGAGACACTGGCAGGAGGAAGCCCTCAATGTCTACCTTAGCGGCCGGGCTGCCTTGGAGGATGGCGGCTTCGGAGACAAATTCGAGATGCCCCTCACCTGCAACACACTTCTGTTTTGGCTCTGGGCCACGAAGAGCGGACCGTTGAAGTTAGTCACATCGGATTGCAGGAATGTCCAACTCCCAAGGAATCACATGACATGATACTCGTTGCGGGGCCGCCAAGCTGGCTTTCTTGAGGCTTTGGGAGGATCACCTGGACGATAACCCGGAGACCAAGGCCGGGAGGCTTGGTCGTCTTGTTCGGGATCCGGCTTCGGCTTCCTAAAGTAGGAAGCTTCGGGACTCAAAAAGGCCATCAAAAGGCCATCCTTCGGTCTGAAGCCAGCGAGCCGAGGCGCACCTGGATCAGCAGATGGCTGCGAAGAACCTACCATGTCCGTCGCCGTTTTTTGCTCGACACCCACCTCGACAGCTGAGGCCATGAAGCAGCTCACGAAGCAGGTTCCGCAGAACCAGGACCAGCGAATTTCATCAACAGGCCAGGTTCGAGACGTGATTCCAAGCAACTCCCGTGTAGAGGACTCCGGCTCAGAGGAGGATTTCAAAATGCCAGAGACGTTGAAGGACTTCGTCCAGCTGGCTCCCCACATGTAGTTTCAGCACCTCAAGGTTTTGCTTTCGTGATCCTGGTTTAACAGGTCATCGAATGCGTGTTGCTTTGTGTTTTGTGGCCCTCCGAGCATTTTCGGCGTCCCGAATATGCCCTTTACGGCGGTGTTTAAAGGAGAGCCTCGTACAAGGCATCTTTAAAGGAATCCCCTGAGGCCTCAATTTATCCTCTCCCATGAGAATTGGCCATTCCAAATCCCGAGCAAGTCAAACAAGACGCCCCCAAACACTTGCGTCCTGAATTAGCACCGGCCCGATCTCGTGAAAGAGGGTCATCAAATTAAACACAGTGCAAACATTAGCGACTTTTCAGTGTTGCTGTCGCTCTGCAGCCTCAGGCAAAGCGCCACAAAGCAATCGCGTCCTTCGTGCTTATCTTTGTTGTGCTCTACATCATAGCGGCCGTCTACATATCCAACTGGTTATCGAAAGCCATTATGCAGCGCCTGGCAGAGCAGAAGCTCTGAGACCTCGAGAAGAATGTTAAAGTGAGTCGTCCACCTGTGCTAATCCTGGATGTGACTAGTAACCTCCCAGTACTTAGTCGTGCGTAGTTTGCACATGTGAAATGATGTTACTGCAAAGGGGCTAACCGCCATGCTTCGCGGAGCACAGAAGAAGACTTACCCGCTTTTGAGATCTGGAGACAGCGAGGCTTGCTCTTGGCTTTTGTCAGTGGCCGTTTCACCGGATGACCGGTCTTATCGGCCTCATCCCTTTCGCAGCAGTGTGATCGCCCATGCTTTCGACAACCAATGGAAGGCTGGCATGAAAGGTCCTTCGTACTAGTGTGTGCTATGCGGCTATGCACCGAGCTTTCCTCATGCTCCACTGCAAGTGAAGGTAGCCAGAGTAGGCATCCCGACAGCGTCCCGGGCTTCACGTGTGCCTCAGGTGTACATGGAACTTGCACGGTAACCCCGTTGATCCTTCAGACAACATCCAGCGATGGTTGAGGCCGGCACGCATGTTTGACATGCATTTTGCCGGCAATTTTCTTCAGCAGGTCAGGAGAATCTTGGCGTGCCGTACCTTCAGACATGCGTCGAATGTTCTCAAAAAAACTCTTTGGGGCGATTTCAGGCTTGTCACCATCCCCACTCCAAGCCCTAGACCTCCGCAGATCCCGTTTCCTTTCAGGCCCGACGAGGATGGAGCAGACGTCCTTATCCTTGGTGTCCAGGACTCCTCGAGAATTCCCAGCGGTCCTGAAGCAAGCGGTGCCCGAGACTCCTAGACAGAGCGCTCCTGTCCCTTCCGAGGCTGCTGATGGTGTGATCCCTGCACACTGGGGCTTCACAAGTTGTCCGAAGGAGCTCGTGGACCTTGGCCCAAAGACCATGGTGAAGATCTCAAATCTCGCTTTCGCATCCGAGATGAAGGTAAACGAAATGTGGACAGCCTGTTGCGCTGGCATCCTGTCACGGCTCATGTTTCGGCTGATAGCGTCTTGAACTCCGCCGCGAGGTCTTGAACACCTGCGGCGACGAGCAACGCTGCAGCCTCAGACCAGCTCTGGGTATTTGGGACATCTGATGTCCGGTCGAACCCTCATGTGAAGTAGGCCGTGGTCACATAGCGCAGTTGCACATGGTAGACGAATGTAGACGAGGGGGGGGGGCGGTTCCGGGGGTGCTGCCATCGTGCAGCAATCGGCTGCGAACCTCGAGGCCAGGCCGCCTTGGAGATGCGAGTGGAGTCTTGCTCTCAGTCTGGGATTCTGCAATATTACGACCGGGGTCGCTTGTCGCTCAAGGGATGGAAGAACATGGATCAACACCTGTGTTCTGGAGGGCTGTCCCGAATCACCTTCTGCTTCTCAAGCTTCTGAAGTCTGATGGAAGTCAGACAAAACCCGGCTTGTCACGCAATCACGGAGGCTTGCACTCTTGTAGTTCTGCTGAAAAGGAAATGTATAATGACGAACGAGTTATGCCGGCTCTGGATTGTTTTTACGGTGTGCCTGGGCATCCCATGAAGCGTCAACCAAAGCATATTTAGTACTTCGATCACACGGTTCTCACATGTTCTCATGTGGTGGCACGGCATAGTATCGCAGCGATTGAAGCCGGGTGCTTTCTCAGGCAGGCTTTGCAGCCGCCAGGCCCGAGTGAATGATGCTTGACACAGAATTCACAGAAAGCTGCATGGGGCCGCGAAGGCCCATAAAGTACACATGACCAGGATCGTCAGCAGCATTTTCGGGTCGAAGATTTGAGGGACCGAGTGTCAGACATTCTTGCATCCAGGGCTTCAGTCGAAGAATACGGACTGCAGCGTCAATATTCCAGCCGTCCCGGACCTGCAATCACCAAAAGCGCATGGTTCCTTGTGAAGTATTCAGTTGTCCTTATTGACTTCGTCGTTTCGGACCTTTGACACGTTGTCGAAGATACTGTGGGAGTGTGGGATGCATTGGCAAACGTATGCGCTCTGTGCAGTTTTCCTCGCATGCAGGTAGTTCGGCAATGCTTGCTCCGCTAGACGATCGCGGGAGTGCTTGTTGAAGCGCCTGCCTGCCAAAATCGAAATGTCCGAAGTCGAAAGTTGCAGCAGCTACGCACCACGAAAGGCAGCCCGAGCACTTACGTGAAGATTTGCAGCTTTGGCATGGTCGGCCTGGCTGTGGGCCGAGCTAACACCAAGCCCTGATGTCTCATTCACGTTTTGGTTTTAGTGACGCTTGAGAACTGTGACAAAGAGCAGGGTAGCCTGCAGGGGTTCAGAGAAAACAGTCCTTTTCGGAGATGTACTGTATGCTGAACTGCTGAAGGCATGCGAGAGTCAAGCTCCTGCCTCTTCCTTGTAAGGCTTGGTGGGGGTGTCGCTGGTAACATGAGGCCTTGCTCATCTACGTTCAGTCCTGGTTGCAGCCTGCACCTGAGTGGCTTGTGTTGACAAATGGATTCTGGAGAGTTTTCCACAGAATGAATCTCCGGGGTGTGCTCCGGGGTCAAGGCAGCCGAGGTATCGCGAACTGGGGGCTGGTGGAAGAAAGCGGTCAATGGCAGCCCGCCGTTGCGGCTTCTCCTTTCCCCAGGAGCTGTCTATCGCTGCACCCAAGGCCGTACGTGAGACAGCTGCGCATCGACCGGGTCAAGACAGGCGACACTGTGTGCGCACCCTTTACACACTTGCACGAACCTTGCATGGTGAAGAGCGGCAGAGGCGCAGAGGCTTGAATGTGCAGACATTGCTGGTCGGACACCACAGCTGGCTAGATAGAGCAATGCCTATGTAGTTGCCATGGCAGCCAGTGCACACTCCCAGACTCGGACTCCCTGACAGTCTGCTAGCGCACTAGACTTGCAAAGCATTGATTAACAAAAAGTCTTGAAGACGCAACCTACGACTTCGCCGTGGGCCATGGAGCCTCCCATGCAACCACCTTGGATAGCACAGCACGAGCCCTTGGGCGGAGGCTACGCTCCGGAGCGGACAGCCGATGAACCTGGAATGCGAGTTCGGCAAGCTGCGGCGGCCGCCACCGCCGCGGCGCAGGACGAAGAGCTGCGGAAGTTCGTCAATGGAGAGGCCCAGCTGAGAGCATTGGCCGTCCATGCGGACTTCTACACAGACGAGGATGCACTTTTCGAGCTCCTGTCATTGGCGAGCTCGACCGTAGTCGAATTGGAGCGGCTGCCGCCCATGGACCAGCATGCGCTGGACGCGGCGCAGCGCCTGCTGAAGGCCATCCTCGGCTTTTGCACTGCTTGGATGCGCATGGCCGCCTGCGGCCGCCTTGAGGAGGGCGCCGAGCGGCTGCGTGGGCGACGGGCTGCCGAGTTGGTCTTCCAGACCGTGTCGGCGCTCCTCACTTCAGAGTCGGGCCTGGGCGCATCGATGCTCCTGTCCTTCGACGAACTGGAAGGACTGACTCTCATGGGCAAGGCGGCTTGCCACGTGGAGGAGGATGCGGTGGTCGGCGCCGTGCGCAGCTTCCGCGAAGTCACTCGACGCTTCGCTGCGTCCGCGCGCCAGAGAGAGCGCACAGGAAACATGATGAGGAGCCTTGAGGGCTTTCGGGAGACTTTCTGCAGGCGACTGACGGACTTGGCTGTTCGAAGTGAGCGGCGCATGTTGGTTGTGCGATTCAAGGAGGTTGTGAATGAACTCGGGGGCATCCTCTCAGAGGCTTACTCGAAGAGTCAGGTGGTCGACATCCTTTCCGGCCTTTCTCTTCAGCTTACCTCCGAGCTGGTGGTGCAGTGCCCTGGCATCCCCGATGCAGATGGCATAGAAGCGCTCGACTGGCTTACCAATATCCTCCGCACGTTGTTAGAGCGTGGCAGCACAGGTGCTTCTCCTGGCAGCATCCGCGATTGGCTGGAGACCACCGGCTTCTTCGCACGGCTTGCATCGCTTGGCGCATGCCGTGTGCAGCAGCGTGCAGCTGGTCTCCTGGTGGTTCTCCTGCAACGACGAGTCCTCGCACCTGCAGAGCTCGTCAGTGCCCTGGCCAAGGCCGGCGCTTTGTCACCTGAATCTTCCATCCCGGCCACATGCCGCCTTGCACTTCAAGGCGCGGTGGCCTCGGCTTCGGCCAATTTACCAGTGCAAGCAACCATTGACTTCATCGACAACCTTTGCGGCCTGTGGTCTTTCTCGGCCCTGGCGCTGGAAGGCATCGACCTTCTGGTGCAGCTGACGCATGTAGCCCTGGCTGCGGGCTATGATCCAAACAGCACAGACGCTGGTTCCCTGAACCGCTCCACAGCCGTCATGTACCTGCTCCGATTCGTGCAGTGGGGACACAGACAGGAGGATGCAGACCGAACAGAGGCTTTGGCCTTTGCACTGCGCTCACTCAGAGCTCTGCTCTCGCACGCGGGCCTCAGGCCTCTGCTGCCGCTGATGACTGCGGAGGCGCTGTCCCTCGCATTAGAGCCCGGTGGAGGGGCCGTGGCACCAGCTGCGGCAGCAAGGTGTAGCCGCGTCCTTGGTCGCTTGGCTGCAGACACTGCCTCGGCTGTGCGGGGCGAGGGGAGGATCGAAGCCTCGGCTTGGAAGCTCCTCCTCCAAACCATGCCGCCTGTCGGTGCTGCAGTGCCTTTCGATGGGGAGCATGCAGAGTACTGGCTCGCTGCCTTTGTGGACGCCCTTTCTACATTCCTTGCTGCAACGGACGTGGAGATCGGATCACAGGAGGTTGGTATTCTCTGGAGCCGCCTTGTGGTGCGACCCATCCTCGGCCTTCCCGTCAGCTTCGGGGCACTGCAGTACTTCAAGCTCGCGTTCGCCGCCCGAGGCCTCGCATCTGTTCTGCTTCTGGCCCCCTATTTGGCTGCGCCGCACCCACCCACAGAAGTGAAAATGGCTTACATCTCAATTTTCTGCCCCAGCTCATTTCAGGATGCCCCACCACTCAACGCGAGCTTTTTCTTCCCAGAGGCGCGAAGGTTCCGGGAGGAGGCGAGTCTCGTGGCCCACTCCCCGCCAAGACTGCCGCCTCCGCTCCGTCGGTCCTTCAGCTCGGACGATTCTTTTTGGCCCGAGATCGGCGCGGACTCCTCACTCAATGCCCTGGCACAGGCAGCCGCAACAGCTAATGTCGACCTGCCGGAAACATCCGCTTCCGTACCGAGGCTCCGACTTGACCGTGTGCAGGCCGTGCTACCCAATCCGCAAGGTACCAGCCTTTTCGGTGAGCTGACAGTGTACGATGCTACAGAGCGCCGGCTGTGGGACGAATTCGACGAGCTGGGCTCCATTGAAGACGCAGAGGCTCTTCGCCAGCGCGATGCTGCGGCCTTGCGATGCCTTGCTGTTTTGGACAAAGAAATCGATGCTGCAGGGCGTGCCGGCCGTGAACTGCCTTCGGCATTGGCAGAGGCCAGGGCGAAGTTCTCGAGCCTCTGTGAGCTCGCAGATCAAGGTGCTGCTGCAGCGATGGCGCGGCGCATTGGCACTGCTGAGTTGGCCTTCACTAGTGCGGAGGAAGAGTTTATCGAGGCTTCTGCGGTGCACCGGCGTGTCAGAGCGCGTTGCCGGCGTCAGGGCGAGCCTTCGCCTTCAACCCAGGCCTTGACTGCTGCGCGGTCGAACTTAGATCAAGCTCACCTCGCGCTCGTCGCAGAGATGCGCCTGGCAGCGCAGTGGGCACAACTGGGCCTCGTGGAGATCACCAGCATTGCTGGCTTCGCCCGTGCTCTCCGTGCCGCTGGCCCAACCCATGCAGATCCACTCTTGGAAAGGCTCCTGCATCACAGCCGCTGGTGTGCGAAGCAGGCAGAGAACGATCTGCGAGCTGCGTCTTCTCCAAGCTCTCCGATTCGATTGGTCAAGGAAAAGCCCTCGGCCGCCGCAATGGACAGCATGGATGCTGAGACGCTGCTACAGCGTGCCGAGGTCCGTGTCGACGCCTTTGCTGGCTTCGACACCACCCCGCTGGGCAACGGAATCCGCACTGTGGTCGCCCGAAAAAAGACCGCACCTGCCGAGGCTGTGGTTTTGAAGGCGTATCAAGAAGCAGAGCGAGACCTTTGCCTCCGAGAACTTCAGGCGCTCCTGAAGCTGCGAGGTCACCCGCAGGTGTTGTCGCTCATGGACGTCTTCAAATCTGCAGGCTGCACGTACCTGCAACTTCCTCACTGTCCAGCAGGGACGCTTGAACAGTGGTGTGCTAAGCATGAAGATGCGTTGCAGCAAGGACGTGATGCAGATGTGTTCGTGCGTGGGCAAAGCATTTGGAGGCAGATTTGGCAAGCCCTCGGCCAACTTCATGTTGCCGGTGTTTGCCACGGAGATCTGACGCTGCAGAATGTGTTGCTGTGGGCTGATCTGCGACCGGCGTTGGCCGATTTCAGGAGGTGTGCTCTCCAAGTCCCGGTGGCAGAAGAGCGGTGGCCGGCTCCGACGGCAGATTATGCGGCACCAGAGCTGGAGGCAGATCCTTTGACACTGCCCACAAAGCCCGCTGACGTCTACAGTGCCGGCGTGGCCATGGCCAAGACCTTCCTTGGCCTGGAGCTTCAGGTCTCTTCTTGTCCATATCATCCAACGCGGGGACACCGCTCTTTGCCCGAAGAGCGCACCGATGCAGACGTGGCAGACCTCTTGCAGCTACTGCTCGCTGAGATGCCTTCAACGAGGCCTTCCGCAATATCTGCATCCAGCCACCGAGCCCTGGAACCGCTGGGCTTTCTACGACGCCGAGGACTCTTAGGCGCTTCCTCAGGAAGCGCGCCCCAGACCTTCCTCAGCTCTGCCGAGTTACTTCGCGAGGAGTTCCGTGGGAAGCGCGTCGAAGAGCCTCTAATGCTCTCCCGCGAGACGGTGTTCGACGACATCGCCGGGTCCAAGGTAGGCGAATGGCGAGAAGAAGCACTCCTGGGTGAATGGCGCGTCATGCTCAGCGACGAAAGTGGCGTTGATGGCGGTGGGCTGCGGAGAGAGGTCGTGACGCTTTTCTTTGAGCAGCTGGAGAGCAGCAGTCTTGTCTTGAAAGCCGGCATGGATGGCTCTGAGGTACTGACCCTCTTCGTAAACGACCGTCAACGCGCCCTGCAGAGCGTGCAGCAGTGGAGACAGACGTGGACCACAGTCGGTGCAATGCTTCTCCGTGCGCTCGTCCACTTTGGGAATGCACCACTGGGCCTGAGTAGTGCCGTCTTTGATTGCGCTCTTGGAAGGTTGCCACAGCTGCCACCCGACGACCTCGGAGCAGGTGTCGAGGAGGATGTTGGGAAGAGTATCGACCGCATGATCGCGAGGAGAGATGCCGAGGGCGATGATTGGGCTCTCAGTCAACTATCCGACCTTCTCCGGCGACTTCGTCGAGCAGACCCTCAGAAAGAGGCCGGATACCGCTGGATGCTCTCGCAACGTGTGCAGGAGCCGATGGACGGTCGTTCTGTGGTGTCCTCGCTGTCCACAGAAAGTTTCGAGACCGTGGAGGCCATGCTGGAGCCGGCGGCTTACGGTCTGCTGGCTCGGCTCGCTTCGCCATCATCGGAAGGCAAGCTCCTCCTCGACGGTGCCGCCTTCGAGTGGGTGCTCCTTTGGGATCTCTACCTCAAGTATCTCGGGGGCGGAGACAGGTGGTTAGCTTACCAAGCTTTGGCCGCTGGCTTTACTACACAGGGGCGGCGGACAGCAATGTGGTCTTCAATGACAGGGGAGCAGATCGTTGAGCTCTTGGACGGTGTTCCGTTGACCCCGGAGGCTGTGTTGCCGAACCTGGAATTCAAACCTGGGTATGGCTACGAGACGCAGATTCAATACTTCACGGCGGTTCTCGGTTCATTTTCGGCCGAGGAGCTGTCCATGTTCCTTCGTTTTGCCACCGGCATTGGCCGGCTACCCGCCAGCCGTCGCTTTCCTGCAGGGCAGAAGTTGGCTATCCGGTTCATGCCCACAGACAACCTGGACCAGTTGCCATCGGCTCACACCTGCTTCTGGGTCGTGGACGTCCCGCCATACGAGGACCAAGAGGACATGGGCAGGAAGCTGCGTGTGGCCATCGCCGCGCCTCAGCCCTTTGCCCTGAGTTGATGCCTTGCTTGGCTCGCCCCGGGATGGCGCACCAGGCCGCCATCCCCTCGTCAGCAAACGATAGCATGGCAGAAAAACACCAGGAAGAGAGCCCGGGCTGAAGGCCAGTGTGCTTTGCCTTTTCCACTGCGAACGTAGTTGTTGTCGCTTGTTGGGAGCCGCGACATATCTCGGAATCATGTCTCTTGGAGCTGCCGCTATGAAACCTCCACGTCGTCCGCACTCGCACCGCTGGACAGATTTCGACGGTGCTGTTCTCGCAGGCTTGGATGGGATTGGTGGAAACAAAGGCGGCGTGTGCGCCAGGCCTGCGACGGTATGAGGCAGTTGTTTGCTCCATTAGGATCAATCGTCCCACATACGATCATGAAGGTTTCTGCTCGGCTCGCTGTCAGCCGGTGACTCAGCCTGCATTTTCAGGCTGGTGGCTTGGTGGCTTCATGCTCTCAGACATGCGGTGCAAAGTGAGCTTTTGTTGTGAAAGCCGTGCGCCGAAAGCCTGTAAGAACCAGCCGCGCAGCGAAACAGAATCCATAGGTTTGCACGGTCAACGTGCATCTGGCTTCTGGGCAGCAGGTGCGCCGGCCCTCCCGACGCATGTCGCGATTGAGAACCAAATCACAAGACGTCGCACATGCATGGTGAGGAGCCGGGGAACTCCTACGGATGTCTTCAGTCTGTAGCTCCAGTCGAGCTGACTACATTGACAAGGATAGCTGAACGGCCCAGCAACAACCAGTCGCCGATTCAAGTGGTCGAGTGTTGCTCGGCGAGCAGTGTTTGGGTGAAGGCCGTGAACGAGAGGAATCAGCACCTTGGCCAGGCATGGAGCTGAGGCTGAGTCTTAGATGATGTTGGCCACTTCATACCGAGCCCAAAACATGCCGAAACCGCGGGACTGCGAAGGAGGTAGGCCCTCAGGAACATACTGGGTAGTGCAAGTGCTATGCCCGCTTGCCGCAAGCCCGGATCACCCCTTCAACCTGCCCAAACTCTGAGACAACCACATGTCACCGCAATCATGTCTAGTCTAGTTGAGTTTCAGGGCCGTCTCGGTGTCATAGCGCACTTGCTGGGCAGAAACGGTTATCACAGTTCTCGGCTCGAAACCAAACTACAGCACAAACGTGGTTTCACAAGTGAGCTCATCAATACCGCCTCAGCACCTACTGTAGTGGTGCGGTTTGCCACGCTCAGGTGCTGAGCGATGCTTTCCAAAGCATGTCCTCCAAGGGCGTGCTTCCCTGAGCTGCAGACGGCAGAGCCAGGGGAGCCGAAGCAGTGAACACATGCCTTTGACGTTTTCTACGGATGTTTTGGCTGAGACCCTGCGACCCGCCAAGAACGGCTTCGAGCAGCAACCTCAGCCGAACCGAGCCTCACAGCAGGATAGACCGATCGCTTGCGAGGCGCACCTCCTCGTATCATGTTGCACAGCTTGGGGCCAAGCTTCATGGTTTCTGAGCGGAATGCGGTTGCAAGCCAGCGCACGACACATGAAAGGGCCTTACCTCACTCTGAGTGGCAGCGTCACCTCCCTCTGCCTCGAAGTTTTACTCTGCCGTACGTCCTCCCGCACAGTTACTATTATGGTCATATACTTCTTGTTGTGATTTCAATAACCATCTAATGGCATGAAGATGAAGCTTGAGCTCGTCGGCGAAGTGGCGAAGCCAGGCATGACCTGTGCATCATCGCCGGCGATTTCAATGCACGTTTGGACTCACCCTCTCTTGTATGCTAAAGTTGCTGAAATCGACTTGGAACGGATGGTTCTTGGCAAGCTTCACTGGGGAAACTCCATTTCGGTCCTGCTGGAACTCACCGTGTGGTATCGAAAGTAAAATAGTTGATTCAGGGTTGTCCCAGCTTGCGTTGCGCTCACTCGTACCAAAGCATGAATCGAGTGCTGAAGTTGCCCGACATCATCGCACCGTAAGCAGGACCTGCCCAAAGACGCTTCCTGGCCACGAGGTCCTCAGGAGGCACGGGAGCAATCTAGCCTGAGGTGGCTAGCAGTTGTGGCTGTTCTGTCGAGTCATGAGCACAAGCTGCCGTTGCAGGCATGGCTGGCCCTGGATCAGATCATGCTCGGACAGGCCATGAGGAAGTTAACCTATGATGTGCTACGGTTCTGCAAATCTGCAATCCACTTTCCTCTTAACTAGGCAGACTTGGATCGCAGGGTTGCAAGCTCTGCCTTGTTGAGTGGGACCCTGCAGATCCAAGAGCCGTTCTCGTTTCGGCAGGTTTCCTGTTTACGTGGCTTTCGCGAAGGCCGGTCTCACAATGTTAGCTTTGTTTCTTTAGTCAGGTTATGGCCACCCCTTCGTAGAGGTACTGGAGGGGGGGGGTTACTGTGAGTGGTACCTATTTCCGGGGCCTATTTCGGGAGAGTGTAGGGATAAAACTAGGTACCGGGGGATACGGGGACAGTGTATCGTGGCATTGCATTCGGTGTGGATCTGTGGCCGTCGGCTCTGACGAGGTAACTGGTCCATGGCATTTGCCCACACCGTTGTAGTAGGTACCGGTACCTTTTTCCGCCCCCCCCTTGCTCACCCACACCCCCTCCCCCCTCGCGAGGAGGTAGCCATGTCAGGTTCTTTGGCTCTTATAAACATATCTCAAATGTCAATAAGATAGACGACCAACGCAGACATGAAGCCATCCGGTGATCAATTTGTCATCATTCTGGGAGCTGTGTCCGAACTCTCTGGAAAGTGGATCAAATCGTGGTGCGCACCCACTGCTCGCAGCTGGCATGCTCTCAGACCTGTCAGAGCTATTTCAGGGTTTCTGTTCAACCGTCATGTCGTGCGATGCATCCAGATGTCCAAAAAGCAGAATACCTGCCTCCTGCTGCATGATTCGCTTGGACCGCTGCTGTACTTTCCATTGTCGCAGTTGCTCTGTGAATGCAGCCAGCTTTGATTCTTCTCAGTCTTCCGAATCTGTCTCAGAGTTTTGTTTGCCCGTAGTCTGTCACGCCAGGCAGCACTTTCCGAGGGTTTGTGTCGGTTGCGGCTCGGTGTCAGGTTATACTCCATAGTGCTGTTGCCATATCCCTTGCAGTGGTGGATGATTGTGCGAAATTGGTAAGCCTCTATCTTGACCTCCCCCAATGCTAGTCACGGAGTCATCGGCCGGGCACCGGAGCAACCTTGGCCCCCGCCGCTCTTCGCTGCCTGAAACTCCTCCCTCCAGCTCCACCCCACTGATTCCGCTCCAGGCGTTATCTGCTTTCCGCCCACGTACAAGTACAAGATAGGCTGGGCAGTTGCATCGAGGTACTACTTCTCAATGTGCATCTTCTGCAAGTGCCGTACATCCTGGAGGAACCAGCACTTTGAACACCAAGCGCTGCCCTGCTTGGCCCGGGCCGCCAGATGGAGAGACTTAGAACTCTACAAGCACCTTTGTTGGGGCTGAAGAGTTTTGGCAGGAGGAAGCTTTGTGTGCGAAGGATATCCCGACAGATGACTGCGAGATGGCTCTCGTGATTACTTCGGTCTTATCATCTCGTTTTCAATGTACTAAGTGGGCCTCTCGTCTTCTAGGGTCGAGGAGTCGACGAACGCAGGACAAGGATGGCCAGAACCTCCTCGGTGTTCTCTTAAAACTTATTGTGTCTGCAACAGGCGGCCCAGATCATGTGCGCTGCTCTCGCTCCCCAGGTGTGATCGGGTGGTGTACAAAGCCTCCAGCACGGCAACTGCAGACCTTCTGGAGCCATGAGCTCAGAGTGCGTGATCAGTCCTTTCGAGCTTTCGAACATTTCCGAGCTTTGCAGAACTTTGCTTGGCAAGTTGGGGAGGAGCTGACTGTGTGAGCGGCAGTCGGCCGGGCCATGAACTAAATGCACGCGTTAAAAAAGCATCAAGGCTATGGATATGCGGTCTCCGTGGCATTTTGGCTTCCATTGCGGGCACATGGTCTTTCTGGGGTAAGGCGTAAAGAGCGGCACTGCCCTGCGATTGCACTTATTCCAATGCTGGGCCTGGTGACATTGCCAAAGTCACTCGATGATCATCTACGACGACAGGAGCTGGGTAGGAGTAATTTTCACCTGGACCGGCAGTGTGCTGCCAGTTGTGTGGCCACGGATCTTGTTGTTGGTTCTCGTGATATATGCTGCCTACGAACTCCTGGGCTGGCAGCACTGGCGCTTCCACATGATGGAGGAGGCCGAGAAGAGTATGCAGATGCTTGGTGGGACAATGTCCTTCCTTCTGATCTTTCGGGCAAATCAAGCCAACGCTCGGTATTGGGAGGGGCGCACTTACATTTCCCGCTTCTTTGAAGACATCAGGGACTATGTGATGTTCTTCAACCTCTACGTTCGCGGCGGCCGAAAAACCGTCAACTGGGACTGTGGAAACAAGCTCGCAGTTATTGAAGAAGATGAGAACGATGAGCTAGCAAGGAGGGCTCGCATTACAGCTGTGCGACTGTGCGTGGCCTTCGCCGTGATGCTGAAGACACATACTCGGCTCCAGCATTCGGGCTACTGCTTTGGCCGCATTTCTCGCAGGACGAAGTGGGCCGTCGACTGGGACAGGTTCCGTTTGCACCAGCTCCTCAAGGACTGGGAGTTCCGCACTGTGGACGCCCACTTCAACATCCTTTGCAGCCAAGCCACAACCCTCCAGGAGTTTGAACAACAGTTCCAGAGCTACGATGAAGGCCCCCCTCCGGACTGGCCATCACATTTCAAAGTGAACACCGAGCCAGCTGCCAGAGCACATCTAGCCTTGGCTTACCTCATCAAGGAGAACCTTGTGATGAACATGAACGACGCCTTCAACTCCCTTCCGCATGGTCTTAAGGAGCGCTTGGTGCCATTAATGGCCAGTCTCCTGAAGTCTGCTTTGGATTCCTATGAGGGTGTTACAGTAATCATCTCAACACCCCTGCCTTTACCATATGTTTGCCTTTGCAAGTTGCTCCTTACCGTGTGGATGGTCCTCTTCCCGCTTACAGAGGATCCTAGCCTTGGCTTGTTCGGCGGTGTCATGGTTCCGATCTTCGTGATGCTTGCATTGCTGGGTATCGATGCTATCTCCACCGAGCTGGAGGACCCTTTCGGAGACGATGCCAATGATTTGGATATCTCCGAGCACATCGCGAGCCTGGAGTCGGAGGCCTTGGCTCTCTTGGAGCTCTCTGGCGACGTGAAGGCTCGTGATGCCTTCGCGTGGCGCTGCTTGCCGCGGCTCATTGCAGAAGAAAGCTGCAAGCCCATATACAGACAGCTCGTCCTCGCTGAGCTTGCAGGCGAGGAACTTGTGGAGGCAACAGGAGAGTCAGTTCGACTCAGCATGGATCGAGATCACATGGATGAATTTCGCGCGCCTTCCGCAGCGCCGGCTAGATCCTACTCCGGCACACGTCTGGATGAGGATCCCTAAGCCCTACATAAGATCTCAAAACCCTGGGTCCCGGCTCCTTTTCCTGCAGGCATGCGGTGGTAAGCATGCACTGACTCCTTGTGTTAATGTTGGCTGTCTCAGGATGCTTGAGGCAGCCGCTGCTCTGCAGTGTCAATCTCGGACATTGCTCAAAGCCAGTAATCCGAGACCGAGATCAGCAAATCATTCGGCCTGCGCCCAACAGAGGGGTCTGCAAAAAGCTGGGGCTGCTTGCTGGTATGAGTATCTCACATCTTTTCTCCGGAGCTACGTCGAAGCAAGAGCCGTCCTCTTACGCCGATGGCAGGTACAAGAAGTGACAGCTGGGCACAGTGACGGTCCTTGTTCGTCCTGTTTTGACCTTCTTAGGTACCTGTCGTTTCCGGATCTGAAGCTTACGAGTGCCCGGGGCCAAGTTGATGGGACCTCGTCTGACTCAGGAATCCATTCAGGAACGAAGGCGAAGCTGAGTTCTTTTTGTCCACCGTACCACGGCGTACTCTGTCTGCGATTCACGCGTGCATCTTTTGCTCAAAGTACCATGGAAGCAAGCATCTGGCTGCTGCATGATTGGCTGGTGAAAGGATATCCATGCGAGAGTGGCCATCTTCCCAAGGCTTCATGACACTCCAGGATTGCATCGTTCAACATGGCCCTCAAGTCCTCAAGATTCAAGAGCTGTCATAACCAGAGAGCGCTTCGTCACGGTTTACACCGACCTCACAGTCTCCCCCCGTGCTGAGGACCATCATCCAGTTGCAGCGCTTCTTCAGGCCACTTGAGCCGAATCCGCCTTCCTTCGTTCACAGAGAGAGCAAGGGCCTGGAGCCCTAGTTAGGCCGTGCGAAAGAAAGGCAAGCAAGCGATCAAGCACAGCGGTGTGGAGATTACTTGACGGCAGCAAACAGTCCCGACCTGTGGCGCAGGTGCAAGCGCCAAAGAGAACGGCCGAAGCTGCTGCACCTTAGGTGCACAAAGCTGGACACAAAAAGCAAGCAGCCATTCAGTTGCTGACTGGGCCCTGATGGGCCCAGCTTAGGACGTCGCCAGACTTGACGTGACGACTTCAGTCCAAGTGCCTTGTGTCACGAAACGAGCGCTTCAGGCCAGCATGCTATCCGTTTGCCGCCGTGACTTGGCACAAGTGTTTTTTGTGGGGGAATCAAGCAGAAGTACATTTAGAGTACCCCTCTGCTAGCCATGGGCATCACCAAGAGACATTTCAGTGATGCCCTTGTTGAGAAGTTCTACCATCGCGAGGGATCTCCGGCTTCCTTACCAGACTCGGAGTCGGAGGACAACAGCAGTGACATGGAGGTTGCTGGCAGCCATGCCTGCGAGAGTGTGCCGCCTGTCCTTGTCGGCCAAACTGATATCCGCGACTATTTCCTAGCGAGCTGGAGATGGCAGGAGATGTCAGAGGGATTTCTTGAGGATGCGGAGGCAGCCAAAGCTATGGGGCTCCCATTCCACATGTGCGATGATGATGTCACTTTCCCCGAAAGTCAGATGGAAACCCGGGTGGAGGCAGAGATCGCGGCGAGTGACACTGCAGACTGCCTCGTAGCGGACGAGGAGGCTGCAGAAGCCATGGGTCTTCCGTTCCACACATACGAGGATGATGATGGCCTTGTTGTATCAACAGAAATGTGCGTGGAAGAAGTGGTTCTTCCACTCAATCATACCGCAGAGTCTACGGGTGCGGATGAGAAAGCAGCCGAAGCTATGGGGCTGCCGCTCCACATTTACAACGATGACGAGGTTCCTACATCCACAGAAGCCGCGGTCGACAGAACTACCCCGCCCCGTCGCCGACGACAGCCGCTGGAGGGCACACCGTGCAAGAAGCCTCGAGTGGCCGAGCCGACTAAGGTGGAGCCACCGAAGATGGCCGAGAAGCAGCCGACCGCGTTCAGCACAGAGAATTCTGTGCAACTCGCATTTTGCTGATGTCCGAAGCTGAGGATGCGCACCCACCTGTGGTGCAAGAAGAAGCCAGTGAAGCGGGCACTGGAGGGTAGACAAGATCAGCAGACTCCAACTTATCGAGCCAAGACCGGGAAGCTGAAAAGAATACGGAAGCGCTGCGATGAACGATGCTTGAATATACGATAACACGGACTGACTGGGGCATCGAGTCTTCAGACTGGAATTTTCACAACATATTAAGAATCGAATACTGATTCAATGGAACAAGAATGGCCATTTCATACCGAGACCCCGTTTGGCTGCATCCGAGTTGAGAGAGCGTAACTACAAGACAGAATTTATAGTTTAAAACGTTCATTAAAAATGTTTGGTACATATCTGTGTACGCGTATATACACATACTTACGTATTTATATATAGCCTAAAAGGATACGTTCTAGGCTTTATCTCCCTACGAATAGCCCCTTTCTTCTTCCGGGCCTTTGGCGGTTTGTGAGGGCTATATCTTTCATTCTCATGAGCTATTCAAAGTTTGATAATTTTCTGGGCCCGAACTGCTTGGAACTATTCAGAATCTATGGGTCGGCATTGTTTATTATATTTCTCGCATGTTTCGCATTTCGCTGAATTCAGCGCATGTGGGAACAAGTAAGAGGTTTGCCAGAGAAGAAACGGCGTCTATCGGTCTGGTGTATCTATCGCTATCTATCGCTCTGTCGTTGGTTATCTCGCTTTTTTCTCTGTTTCTCTCTATTTTCTGGGTCTCGTTCTAGATCTCATCTATCTCTCTTTGTCTCTGTTTATTTTCACCTGCCTCTGACTATATTCGTCGATATCTCTTTATCTAGCTGATTTTATTTATCTCTAATACTTGGCGATGCTGTGCACAAGCAGTGGCCCGCATGGTCGTTTAGCCTTGTCAATTTGTCTTCACGGAGCTTCCCTGGTCTGGGGTCAGTCGGGAAAGCGAATTGAGCATTGAATTGAATTTATCTCTATTTTCCTCTATTTGTTTCTATTTATGCAAAATTATGACATTTGTTATATCTTTTTTGTTATTTGCCATATCTAAATCTATTTTACGTACTGTTTTGTAAGATAACACATATGTTTAATGGAAATGGTGCAATGGAATTACGAAAAAATGTTGATGATAGTGTGTGTATATATATACGCTTTATATGAACGAAAAAGAGAAGTATATTCCGCTGACGGTTACGAAATATCTCCCCGCGGGTGTTTCTATACTTCTGCGATATCTTTGAATTTTGGTAGTAATAATTTCTTGATTCAGTGAGAAGTTTAGGTAGCTTAAGTTAAGAACTGGCCGGGCGAGCTTATTGTTCTTTTTTGTTGAACTGGTATAAAGCTAGCAATACTTAGGGAAACCCGATACAACTTATAAGTCATATTTATCTAGACCCTTCATTGTTTATTGATATATATATATATACATCAGTATGAGTTGTTATGAGTTGGGATCCAGATCGATTCCAGTCCTTTGTTCATTATGCTAACAGTCTGTATTTGCGGAATACTAACTGGCCGAAACCCATCCATAAGTATGAATGAACACGCGCGAAACGCCCTACTTCGGATTCGTCCATATATTTTCGTAATTCATGGTATAACTGTTGTCTAAGCAATTTATTTTTAATACTTCCTATTCATGCCACCCAGGTTGTTTACAGTTATGAGTTTTAAGAGATATACTTTGAATAAGTTATCCCGGTGCCTGAAAGCGATAGCTTTCAAGCACTCATATACATATATATATATACTGATTTATTAATATGGAAATTGTTTCAAGAAACGTATATCTTTCATGTTCAATAGATGCTATATAGCATTTTGACCAGGAGATCATATAAATTGTCAACTCTTTGGATAATACAACCTCCATGCTCTTGATATATATTTCTGCCTTTCGAATAATGATTTTTCTTACTTATGTCAGCATCTTAGAATCATCGAAAAGAAAACCTTGCATAAGATCTTATCTTATTTGTTTGAATTGGCAAGCAGTGTCTAAACGATGTAAAGTGTTGCTTATCCCTTCTTGGACTTCATACTAGATTTATCTCAGAAACGTTCTTTGATATCGATCTGGTTATCATTGTGCACTATAGCATTTTTCAAAACCGCTATTAATTAAAGAAATCACCGCGTCTCTTCGGAAGCATAAGTCATCCCCATATGTTTGGAAACAGCACTGCAAGTTTTTTTATGCCGAATGGTGAAATATAGTAAGTTCTAAGCTACGAAATGTTAATGCTGGCTCGCCATATATATACATATATATATATAATATGTGGTGTATGTATATATATATATACTTATCTTCCTTATCTCATCGAAATCTAGGTTCAGAGAATATTATTTGGACATAGTGGAGCAACCAATTTGTTTATATATCAAATGATGAAATCTGGCCATGCTATAAAATGCAAACTGTTATCTCCCTTTCAATGAAGTCTTATCAGTCGTATCTCAATTTCCTGAACTTCTTGAAAATACTTATTGCATTGTTATAAGCCCGTTAGAGCATATTCTATATATTGATTCCTGAGTGACCTTTAAGTGGATATTCGTAGAATAACAATGCTAAATGAATATGTATATGTTTTATAGATTTTCTCGTATAAATCCGATATATTGGCATTGTCGAGAAGAAGAAAGGTGACGACCATCTTTGAATAAATACCTCGACAACTATATGGAGGTGAAGGCCTGACCCTGTTTGTGTTCCAGCTCCAATGTCATTCCTTGTGGCTTGCAGCCCTGACGCTTGCCCACGAAAACGTACAGCCGTCTTTCAAGATGGGCAGAGGAGCTATAGGGCTGCGGCTTAGGACAATCGGCAGGCCGACAGATGCGTTGGTGAACAGAGCTGAGCCAAATGGCTGCTGCAATGCCACAGTCAAGGAGTCGTGCTTCGCGATTGAAAACAAAAACTTTGAGTCGCGACATGCCGCAGTCTGCGATGTCCGATGTGCAGCTGGAAGCCGGTTTGTGGTTAGCGATGCAGGTAACCAAAGGGCGGATGTCAAGCCTCATCTGGGGCCCATGAT